TCAATCATGCAGGGTTACATTTATTTTCTGTGTAGTCTCAAATCAAAGTCCTAGCTGTCTTCAAAAGTAGTCTCAATTTTATAATTGCTCCTTTTGTCTCTTATAACCTCTACTAGCTTATACCTTTGACATTGAAGAGCAAAACTATTCTACACAACCCACTTTTTGACGTGTTGGAAATTTGGAATTTCTGAAAGATTAATTAATTTTCTAACGTGCAGATACATACATACCATACATACACACACATATATATACACATAGATGTTAAACATTGAACAAAAAAAGTCGTACCGTCACCCTCACCTTATAGAAACAGGTGGGGTCATGGACCTAATAATTTTGAATTGACCTTGTTAATTAGGAAATGATGGTTTGACCGAGTAATTATTTATGTATTTTAATAAAATAAATGAATTACAGTAGTTATAATCACGCTAAATTTGATAAATTTGATAAATACGACAAAAATAATAATATAATAAAAATTTTTACTCGTTTTACGTATTGCGATGATATAGAAAGATCGAGTAGGGACATATAAGAAATCTTTCACACTCGATACGTATTCCATATTCATCTTACCTACATTCGACCATCATTTTTAAAATAGAGTTACAGTAATTATAACAATTATGATATTAGTAGTAACGAGTTAGACGAAAATGTCGATGACGTTAAAAATGAATGTAGCAATGGTAACAACAGTTATTGATACAGTTGTGATAATTGTTAGTAATAATAGGAAACGGTGGAATGGAGATTGATAAAGGGATCTCCCACCTCATACGTACTGATATTCATTTTATACACGTTCTGTTATCATTTTTAAGATATAGTTACAGTAATTATAACAATTATGATAGTAGTAGTAACGAATTAGACGAAAATGTCGATGATGTTAAAAATGAATGTAGCAATGGTAACAACAGTTATTGATGCAGTGGTGATAATTGTTAGTAATAATAGGAAACGGTGGAATGGAGATTGATAAATGAATCTCCCACCTCATACGTACTGATATTCATTTTATACACGTTCTGTTATCATTTTTAAGATATAGTTACAGTAATTATAACAATTATGATAGTAGTAGTAACGAATTAGACGAAAATGTCGATGATGTTAAAAATGAATGTAGCAATGGTAACAACAGTTATTGATGCAGTGGTGATAATTGTTAGTAATAATAGGAAACGGTGGAATGGAGATTGATAAATGAATCTCCCACCTCATACGTACTGATATTCATTTTATACACGTTCTGTTATCATTTTTAAAGTAGATTATACTAATCGTAATAATTATAATACCAATATAAACGAGACGATAAAAATATCAATTATAATAGAAATGAGAATAGTAATGGTAACAATAGATATTGATATTGTGTTGATAGCGTCAGTAACGATAATTATAATGAATTTAATAGTAATAAATATGACAATGAAATTAGTAATGATAACAATAGTAGTAATTACAGTAACAACAATAATTATTTACTTTTTAAAAAAATGTATAATATTAAGATTGACTTCGATCAAATGGACCGGACAGACGAGAAAAAAAAGTTAAAAACTAAAATTATATATATATATATATATAAATTTATTCTAGAATCTTTATGATATGATCGTATGGAATCAAAAGCGAACTAGAGAGGAAAGCTACATATCACAACTGAACTAGAAAAAGAAACTAAGCTTGCGAGATTTCAACAATCATCATTTCCTTCTACTTTCAACAAGACAATCATGACTTACAAAACAAATACATGTATATATATATATAGATATTCCTTGTGATATCAACTTCTGTGTATATATAAGTATATTTTCTACATATGTGGACAGAATGGGAAAGGAAATCATATTTGAAATATTGCAGATGATGATATATATGATCAGATGGTACCCATAAAATCACATGAGGTAAGAAAAGACTGTCGTGCTTTACAGTGACATGATGCAGGCAGCTAGTCCAGAGGGTCATACGTCTCCTCCTCTCATTAACCCACCCGCCTGATTTAAACTTTGGTTTTCTGTTTTGGGAGCCGACTCCTCACACAATTTTCTTCAGTCTCAATTATACTTGTATATATATACATTTCTATGTATGTATACGGCACTCCTCATACATTTATATATATATATATGTGTATATATATATATCCATTGATAAATTGTTATAAACAAAATATATGATGGGAGTAATGGGTTTATATTCATAATGTATTTAAATTAAATTAACTAAAATATTTATTAACTCTTGCCTACTAAATAATTAAATTAAAATTAAAATATTAATATATATATATATTTTTTGCTTTAAGACTGTATAATTAAAATAAAAAATTATCTTAAAATTATAATAAATTCGTATAATTAACCGAAAATGATTTTTGGCACCGCAGCACGGCGAGATTACCCTCCTGCGGGACCCACCGCAGCACCTTGAAACCGTGGGCCACGGAGAAGACGGTTGGCGTAGAGTTGAATTTTCGTTTTTTTTTTTTTGGGGAAAAAAATAAAATCTTCGCTTCACCTGATCTTTGGTTGTAGACGGCTGAGGAAATGATTCAATTTATTGTCTGAAATCCAGAGGAAGAGGCAACAGCGTGGTTGAATCAGAGGTAAGCTTTTCCGGACGAGGTTGTTTATCATTGCTTTGCTGTTAGCTCTCGTTTTTGCTTGCTGGTGATTTTGTTCGATTTTGTTGAAGTCTGATTCGAAGAAGATTTATGGCGCGCTTGTTTAAATTTATCTGGAGATTAAAAATTAGGAAATATTGGATACGGTTACGTATGAAGAGAAGAAGAAATAGAAAATTTGTTTGAACTGCTGAATCCAAGGGGATTTGGTTCCTGAAGATTTCCAGTTGGGGATTTGATTGTGTATTTGGTATTTGTGGAAGAAAATGGCGAGGGGAAGTCGTCATGATTTCTCCATGGATCCTTTGTCGGATTTGTCCTCTTTGCAATTGAACAAGGGTTGGACCTTTTAGTTAATCGTATGTGGTAGTGAATTATTACCTAGCTGTTGGTGGTTTATCATCGATCGTGACTCCTCAAATGTTGGGCTAGATATTTCTATTGTCTGCTTGTGGAGATTCAGAGGCATTTTGGCTTTCTAGGACACAGATTTCTGCTAGGCTGAACTGTGTCATTAGTGGCCGCAAATATTTGTTTCTTTCAATTGGATTGACCCTTTTCTTCCTCTCTTTTTCCCCGCAAATTAGCATTTTTCCTGGCAAAATTTTCTGATGTGTTCTTCTTGCTGTGAATTAAGCTTGGAGTAAGTTGTAAACAGCACTCATCAGCTGCTGCAAATCTATTTCGACTCTTACTTCTTTTCCACTTCTGGCCTGTGATGTTGTTTTGCGGTGCTGCTGGGCTTCTGGCCCTCCTTTAGTGATTCATGGATGGGTTTTTGCTAGTTTTTGGCACTTGACAGAGTTTAAGTGATATGCTCTTGCTGTTGTTTTTAACAGCCTTGCGGCTGTGTTCTTGATGTAATCATACTACTGATTGATATATGTTCAAAAAAATTGCAGGAGAAAAGTTCTGCAGAATCTGGAACATCTTTCTTGTTTTCTGTCTCTCTTCCTCAGTTGGTCCATCGTTTTATTTCGCTCGTTGAAATGTATTGTTCTGAGTCCCATCTGTAAGTTGTTGGCTGTTCAAAAGTTGCTGGATCGTAATTGAATTATACCACATGGCGAGGATAAAACCTCAGGCTCTTCTAAATCAAAGCAAAAAGAAGAAAGGGGCCCAATCGTGTCAGTGTCACTACAGTTATCACCTGCAACTTGATTATAGCTCTAATCATATTGTCTTTAATTGCAACATATAGCATTGGTCACACAGGTATGTTAACTCCATTTACCTATTGTTTTAATCTCTTAGATATTTTAGAGAGAGCTTGTATCTTGTTTAAAATGATATCATTTTTCAGAATTTAAATCCATGCTACTTCGCTTATAGGTCAAGAGACCAAGCAGGATCTGGATTATCAACTTTTGAGGTATGTATTGCGGATTCAATTTTTGCTGTATAAATATCACAAAGTTCCTTTAAAATATTAAAAATTATAGAACATAAACTATCTGTCTACATTTCTTCCTTTCTTTACTTTGTTTTGGTAATCCATTGATGACTGAATAATACATATCCATTTTTCTTTATTATGTGTTTTGCTGGAGTTGCAAATTATCCACTGCGTATGTCATGCTTTTTTCTCACTCATCAATTACATTATTAACATTAACCTGGAGGAAATTTCAACTTACAATAAATTGATTGCTTCATTCAATGTTGAGAATTCTTTATGTATATAAATATCTTAGCACTTCTCTCTTAATTTCATGTTTTCTCTTGGGTAAATGGTGATACTTGATTCTTTTCTTCCTTTCTGTAGAATATACACCATGATATTGGTGTTTATTTCTTCAAATTATGCTATAAATGTTGTTGGACTAAATAGTTTGATGAATCAAAATATAATTAAATTAATGTTAGTGATATCTACTAATTAAATCCTTAGAACAAAGCATGGTAATGCAAGAAAAATTAGTTAGTTAAACATTTAACAGTACGTCCATCTTTTTTTATTTGTCCATAGTATTTGCTCGGTCTTTTTGATATTCAGTGGGTCTTATCTTTGTTGCACTTGAATCCTTCATTCTCCTTTTTCATAGTGCATATAAGTTCAATTAACACGAAGAACCTAAGTTCACCTGGAAACATGGTGCTTTGACACCTAACTTGTAAACACGTGATTCTTTGGTGGTTGTGTACACTTTTTCATATACAGATTTTCTGTTTAAGAGTATACTATTTTGTGGCCCAGGATACAAATGCTATGGTGGACTCAAAGAAATACGATCTTCCTGGCTATGCTGTGAGCTTCTCCTTCGGTTTGAAGCATAATTTATATGTATACATATATATTATATTACATGTGTGTCATGTGTCATGTGTATCTCAGTATCTGTTTGATAACACCGAATGCCGAACTGCACTTCAATTTCTTTTCTCTCCTCTTTTTCGTACTATAGATTCTAAATACATCAAAGGGTCTTATAACAGTGGAACTCTTCAAAGAAGGTTCTCCAGAGATTGTGGACAAATTTCTTGACTTGTGGTAAGTTTAAAAACCTTTTTTTCTCTCGTTACGGAAGAAGATTCAGTTGCTTAACTCTCATTAGTTTTTGCTTCTGGAGAACGTGTCTAGACATCTTTTGGAAAGAGTTTTTGTCGAAGCAACTTTTAACTACTTCATTTTGCAGTCAAAAGGGACATTTTAAAGGGATGCCGTTTCGTCATGTCATCAAAAATTACATGATTCAAGGAGGTCACTTGCAGGGTCATGGTGCAATCGAGGAGTGGACATCAAAAGGAAAGCTTCACAACCACCATACGACGAGGTTTTAGACTACAGCTCCTAATTTTACTGGTATCTCTTGACTAACTCTAGAAGTAATTTAGTACTTGGTACTTGTGAATCATCAGCCCAAAGCACGAGGCTTTTGTGCTTGGAACTTCAAAGACTAGAGAGGCCACTCAGGAATTTGAGCTGTTGATTACAACTGCACCAATACCAGACGTAAATGATCAGCTTATTGTGTTCGGGCGAGTTATCAAGGGCGAGGATGTGGTGCAGGTAAAAAAAAAAAATGTTTCAGTATCTGACATCTAGTGTTTTTTAGAATGCTTGGATCGCATCCAAAGTGCAAATTGTGTTCCATGTGCTGATCAGGAAATCGAAGAGGTCGATACTGATGAACATTATCAGCCTAAATCAGCGATAGAGATCATCAACGTGACATTGAAACGTGAGATCTGAGAAACCCATTTCTTCTAGAATCAAGGATTTCTGAAAAGGGTGGTGGTGCCAAATTGAGAAGCTGATTTTCCAACTCACTTCACCAAGTTTGTCATGGCTTTGAAATTTCTTTCTGCTTCCCCCCTTTCAAGGCATTCTGGAAGGGGGTATTCTGGATGGGGGAAGGATTTTTGTTTGAAAGGTGGAGGTTCTGTATTTTAAAGAGACCTCTCTTATTATTAGTTCTTTTTTTTTGTAATTTGGCTTGGATATATGGTAGATGACTTCAAATAGTTTATAATATTATTTTTTTTAAGGCAAAGTATATAATATTAATTATAATTAATGGGTTTTAAAATGGTAAATTATTATTTATAAATTACTATTAGATGCTATTAAAAAATTAATATTTATAATCAATATTGTGAATTTAAAATTTTTTTAAAAAAAAACAAATTATCTGTGTTTTATACTCTGTCTGTTTTAATTACAAACTAATTAACAAAAAAAAATCACAAACAAATTAATTGAAGTAGATATAAATCAAAGATATATATATATATATTATATAAAATTGAAAAATATTTTTTATGTAAAAAGAAAATTATCTCTCACCATTTTCTAACTATCGGAAAATACATTTAGTAATTTTTTTAAAAAAAAAATTCAACTCAAAATCCTACATTTCTATTTTCTAATCAGTGAATAAATAATGGTCCAAACCCGAAACTCCAAAACTCCGGGTCACGACGGTAGAACCCGAACCGACCTCTCATTAAATATGTAAACCTAATCTTAGATTTTCCATTTCAAAAGCCGCGCCAAAAAGTCACATAAATTTCGCTTCCCATAGTCGCCCGCCTGTTCTGCCACAGTGAGCCTAAGGTTTAGACTATAATTCAGTGAATCACGTAGTCGGTGGCTCGTTTATGGAGATTGATCATGGAGAGGAGGAAGATCCGTTTCTTGCATTCATTGAGTACGCGAGATCGGTAATTGCACCGACAGATGAAGGAGATGGAGAAGTTGAGAATGGAAATGGAGCCGAGACCAGTGGGCCTGGGTGGAGTTGGATAGCGTCTCGGATCCTCAAGACTTGTATTGCTTATTCTAGTGGTGTGACTGCCGCTATTCTGCTCTCTGATCTCTCTCAGGTGCTTGATCTTTTTACTTCTGGCCTCTGTTTTTTGCTTTGTTTGGCTGCGGAGAAGATGCACGAAACTAAGAGGAAATTCTAAAACCTTGTGATCTCAACTTTTGATATTTCAGTTTTATGTATTACTATGGGAAAAGAAATAGAGTATTTGGAAAATTTTCTTATTGATTTGTAGTTGATATTATCTGGATCTAGCTTCCTAGTTTTTTGCTCTTTTTGGCTGCTGAGAATATACAGGAAACTAGAAGGAAATATCAAAGTCTTGATGATCTCACCTTTCGGTGTTATAAAAGCAAATTTCAGTTTTATTTCTTACTTCGGGAAAAGAAATAGAAGATCTGGCGATTTATTTCGAACTTCCTCTTAATTCAACTTATGAATCTCCAACTTATTATCAGCATATTTAACTCTTGGAGTTTTGGTTACCACTATTCTATCGAGTTGATCCTCCATGCAATCGTCCGTAGACTATTTATCTTCTTCTGTTGGTAATGATGGAAAGCTGATTTGTTTTGGTCAATTTTCTTTTAAGGCCTGGAATGAACAACACAGAGTGGGTGCACCGAAGAAGAGACCCGAATTGATAAATCAATTGAAGAAGAATCATCGCAGAACGAAGCTTCCAAATACAGTAACCATTGACTCCATTTATGAGAAGAATTTCTTGTCCTTAGGTAGTGTTTTGGAAGTTGTTATTGTTGATACTTTTGTTCTTCCAGGTACGGGTTGTTTCAGTTCTAGCATTAAAATTTAACATACTTCAGGCAAATCCTTTTTTCGTGTTAGTGGCATAAATTCCTCCTCAGGTACAAACATCTACATGCTTACGGTGGGGGATTTTTGGAGCTCCAGTACCATTGATCTTTATCTCCATCGCAGGTAAGCTCTATCTTTCAGGTGATTAAGGATTGCACTAACATGTTCTTACTTTGTTTAAATATGTGTGTTTATGTTTTATGACTTTCCATTTGTTGAATTTGAAGTCATACTGCTGGAATTTACTCATATTTATCCATGGACCGCGCTATATTTTGGTTGCACTTATGATTCAGCTTGTTAAATGTGTTTTGGCTTCATGTTTATTTAACCTACGTTTGAAGATATTACGAATTAGTGGATCCTGAGAATGGTATTCTAAAAAAAGGAAGGGAGGTTTTGCTCACTGGATGCTATCTTCGAACTGCCCGTGAAGGGTCTAGTAGTTCACGGCTTCTGCCCACAGAATATCTTGTGATATTGCTAGATGAGGTAACTGTTGCATCAATTATATTTTTCATTTTAGCCTAAGTTTTATTGGAAATGTAATCTAGCTTGTCAAATTTTGAAAGGAGGACCACTTCTGTGCTGGTTTCTAGTTTTTGGCATATGTAATATTCATGAAGAAAACAATTATCTCATTTCCTATATTGCAGGATCAGGATGATGATGCAGTTCTAATAGGGGCTCAGTTTTGTTCTGATTCTTTCTCTTCCATTTCGCTTGATGCTGTCAATGACGGTGCTTCATACTCATTATATGCAAGGCAAGATCTTGGGTCACATGCTTTATAAACGTATAACAACAACCTTATAGTTGCTGTCGCAAATTTGATTTTGGCATCATATGTTTTTACTTGCTTTAAATCTTTTGCTAGAAGATGTTTCTATACCATTTGTGAGATCTATGAATTCTTATGAACATTGAATTATAACTTTGATGTAGGACAAGGAGACAGAAAGGGATAAGAACGAACAAAAGGGAGAACTAAGAGAGATAGAAAAACAATTCAGCAAGAATAAGAGAAAATTGCAAAACAAGAGGATTTGTTAACAGTGAATAAGAGTCTAATAACAAACAATTAAGTAAAGAATATTTCTTAAAATCCATTTTCTGCCTTACACCCTAGTTGAGTAGCCCTTGCATGGGTACTAACAATCTAATAAGCAGAATAACAAGTTTCCTAATGCAAATGACTCAAGTCAAATGCGTTAGAGTGCAAATAGCCATCCGAGAACTGGGGTTCCAACAAAACACATATGTGGAGATCCATGAGGCACGTGACATAGGATGACCTTTTCACCTTGGGGCATACTTTGACACTGTCCTGAAGTGGTAATGGCATCAACATCTACAACTGCTACAGTCTTTGCTTTTAGCTATGGAACAGATGACAACTTAAACTGACAGTTGATTCTTTAGTTCAGAGATGGATGCAATTATCAAATAATTTCCCTATCTAGAAAGTTTTACATAAATAGAGAATGTAGAACCAAAGGATGGAAGTAGACATGGTTGGAAATGGTTCTTCTGTTATGTTTGATACTGTGTTGAGTGATACTTAATTTCTAATTATTACCATTTTTTTCCTGTTTTGTATGCAGGATTGAATCTATTGGTTCAATGGAAATTCATGGAAAGATTGATGGTTTACAGAAGAAGCAGATTACTCTTATTGACAATGATGGAATCAGGCTGAAGTTTCTCTTATGGGGTGAGCAGGTTCCCCTTGCAAACCTTTTCAGGTAATCTCTTGTACAGGATGGATCAGCAACAATGCTTTTTTTCTCCCATTTGTGTTCATGATGCCATTTTCTTCATTACTTTATTTTTCTCCTGGGCAGTGTTGGCAGTATGCTTGCACTTGATAGGCCATATATTGCCAGTTCTGCAGAGAGTGGTATGGAAACAAATGATGAATTCTGCCTTGAATATGGTAGTGCAACACAACTATATCTAGTGCCTGTCATTCAACATGAGGAACAAGCAAGTCCATCAGCTTTTCTATGATAAAAATCATTGTTATATGAAATATGAAATCAGCAACTATTTTCTTCAGGTTTCTGTAGCATTGACCCAAAGTCGATACCAAGGATCAAGGTTACTCAGTGCAATAGACCCTAGTCAGGGCCCCAGAGTCTCTCAAGTGTCTTTGCCTTGTGATTCTCAAGGGTCCATAGACTTCAGCAATTATCCTTTTCGGGTGAATATACCATCTATATCTCTGAAATTTGATCTCTTTCATCTTTCAGATACTCTTGTGCTGCTCTAAATGCTATATCACAGTTAAGCTTGTCTCATTACTGTCTGAACCTTGGGATAAGTAATTAGAGCTGCTTTGGTGCATTTCATTCATAACTTATACTGATTTTATTTACTTTTTCAAAGTTCTGCAGTCATTTATTGTTGAACTTCGTGACAAGATGACCAGCATCAGCCTGTATGGTGTTGTGAGAGAACTTTTTCAGGCGAGAAATACTTCTGGAGTTATATTCTCTTTGAAAATTGAGGATACAACTGGAGCAATATGGGCAAAGCTACACTTTTCAAGATTTTGGTATTGAATTTCATTGATCCCCAAATTCTAAAACATTAAATTTATACTACTTAGAAATATTATGTTTTTCAGGTCACTGGGAAGAATAGGCCTCGGTCATGTAGTGTATATATCTGGTTTGACATGCTGTAAAACACAGCAGAATCGGTGAGCATACTTCAAAATTTTCTCACTATATAAACGGATGCTAATCCAGACTGTTTATGACCTCTGAAATTCTTGGATTACTACTACTTTTAAGTTCTGTAATTGCTTGACAGCCTTGAAGTATTATGGGATGAGAAGAATGGGGGAGCTGCTTTGATCAACCTTAGTTGCTTGCCAGCATTGCTAAACTCGTCCTGTCTTCATAAGTCTTCATGCCTTACTGATCTTTTTTCCGGCCAGACAAGCTGCATGCACGTATGGATTTCATATAGATATCTGGATAATGTAATTCGTGATTGCATTTCATAATTCTTACATCTTTTTTTCCGTTATACTTTTTTATGCTTCGCTCATGAGCAAGTTAGCTAATCTAACATGATAATCTGTTGACAAAAAGAAGTTAATTAGAACTGCAGAACAAATTATTTAGATGAGTTGCTGATTCACCAACTGTACCCGCACTGAATACAGTAACGTACAACTAAACAGAAGGGAAAGAAAGAAACCATAGAAGAAATTGTATATTATTGAATCACGCAACAAACAATCTTGGCTTTTGTGTCTTTCTTGAAGTCAGTGGTAAATCTAATCTCTTATTTTTCCAATCATGTTTACAGATATGTCGAGTTAGGCTTGATCAAATTGATCATTGTCATGTCAGTACAAGGCTTTCACATTCTGTTTGCGGTCATTTTGTCAACGAGATGCCCGGTGGGGTTCTTCAGTGCAGCTTCTGTCACTATAACTGTAGTGCTGAAGTTCTGCGAACGTTCCACCTGAAGATTGCTCTTGCTGATGACACTGCCAAAATTTTTGCATGGTGTACCGGTCAAACTGCTACGGAGTTGTTGCAGATATCACCGGATGAATTCTGCGAGCTGTCTGAGGTAATAATTCTCATTCTCCATTGCATTTTCAGTTTCTCCAAAGCAGTTGTGCTTTTTAAGTTTCTTAAAATAATTAAGTTATTACTTAAAAAATAAAGAATTATACTTTTGAATAAAATGCTGATTGCAAAAAATAAGATGTTTTTGTAAAAAAAAAAAATTAATAAAATATATACTTATTATAAAAATTTTGTTACTTACATTGTTTATGTATATATATATAATAATTTAAGAGGGTGTCAAGAGGGTATGCTGTTTATTCTATATTTTCTTAAATTGCTTCTAAAAGTATCCTTCTATTTATGTTACCAAACGTAAGCACTGGAAGACAGTTATCTAAAGCTGTTTATACTTATGAAATAAACAATTTTAAACATTCTTTACTCATTTATATAAAACATGTGCATAAGTTCACACGAATACTGAGGCCCTTTTTAATCCGTCAGAAATATTTTTTAATATCTGTTTTTAAATTTGATAAACAAAACTTCTCTGCATAAACTTTACCTGTCACCTAAAGTTTTTCGTTAATTTATTAATGGCAGGGATTTTATGTGTGTATATGTTATACAAAATAATTTTCTATAGGATGACGTTAAAAATATAGTTTTATTTTTCTTGTTCATGATATATTATTCTTATTCTTTGCCAAAAATCTTAGATAACTAACAAAATTTTTGTACGTGTTTACTCTTCATATGCAAGATGTAAATCGGATTTATATTTTTATACAAACAAGATAAAAATTGAAAAATAAAGTATAATATAATTAAGTATAGCTTAATCTAACCTTATGGAGCTTCTATTATCAACCTGCATTACAGGATGAGCAGTTTATGTACCCTTCTTCCTTGGAGAATGAGATATTCATGGTTGCATTGGTAAACTGCAAGACCCAGAGTCGCGAACGTAGCAACAGCCTAAATCCAGAGACTGATGATACAGTCTCTTGGGAGATCACTCGAGCCCTGAAATTGGAATGATCTACTGGTAATAGATTTTTACTAAATGCTTATTTTTGGCCGATTGATCTTGGTAAGTCTTGTTTTATAATGGTAGATTATATTGGTTAGAGATTTCAAATGCTGTAATCTTGCCTTCATGCCTAAAGAGTTAAATTATACTTTACACTTTTTAAATTAGTTTATATTTCTCTAGCTTTTAGTGTTAAATATTTAAAATATAATTATTTAAATATATTTTTTAGTAAACTTTATTAAGTTCATAAAAATCTTAAGTAAATGTTAAAATTTACATATTAAAATTGAAAAAATAAATTTTTGATTAATGCTTAGAAGAAGCTTGAATTCTTTTATTGAGATTATTAGTTATATTAAAGTTTATTAATTTTTAGATGATATTGGAGAATTTTAATTATTTACAGCTTCAATTATTTTAGTTATTAATTCTTATGTAATAACTTTTTTTGTACTATCATGTTATAACATTACATTTTTAGCCAAAGTAACTCCTAATTAGAGGTCTATTTTAAACTCCTCTACAACAAAATAAAAAATGAAATAAAGTTTTAAAGGTATACTCATAATTGGGAGCCAAATAATTGCAATTCAATTATGACCTTATTCGTTCCTACCTAATGATTATCACGTTAGAGCATTACCATATGTTACTTGGCAAATAGGCCAGGTGTGTGGACCGTGTTGGGCTGACTAGCCCAATAAGTCAGAAACCTGTAAATGATTGGTTCCCGCAGAAGCTTTTGTGGAATGGGTTGGCCTTACCTGGTTAGAATGGCCCAATTACGGCTCAAGAACCGATCAATCACGGCCCGAGTATGGTCCAAGAATGGCCCAAATACGATCCCAAGTATGGCCCAGAAAACCCAAAACGCACTAAGATAAGTATGAAGTGTCATTGGTTAGTGGCCCTCGCCTGTTAGAATTGGGTGGCCCAATTAGGCAGGTAGTTTCGGCCCATTTTTGTTTATCCAAGCAAGTTTGGAGTGGGCTCGACCTGGCCCAAAAGATTATTCACGAGCTGGATCAACCAAAATGGGTTCATCAAGTTCCATTTGGAACTGATAAAAATTTTAAACATCATTTGAAATATGTTAAATATTAATATTACACTCAAAAAAATTAATAATAATCGGGCTGGGCCCATATCACCAGCCTTACGTAGCTCAAACTTAGCTCGAAATAGCTTAGGCTTGCAGGTCATGTCACAAAAAGCCTTAGAAGCCTCAAAATTGGGCTGGCTCAGCCTGAAATTTTCGTGGGCTGGCCTCTCCCAGTCTGTTAAAGCCAGACGGCCCATTTGGCAAGTAACATGGTCTCATCCTTGGTCTACCTCCGCCTATCAACCTACTCGGCTAGCCCAAAGAGCCCTGTAACTCTGCAAAATAGCGTGGGCCAACCCAGTTATTATAAGCATACTCATAGTGAGCTGGTCCAACCCAGTCATAATCGAGCAACCCATATTTGCAAGGCAGACTGACCCATTGACCCATCCTTCCCGTCGTAATGCATTCGACGACAAGCTGGCTAGGTGGCCCAAAAAGCCTTGTTGGCCTCTAAGATGGCCCAGTTCGACATAATTTTTATGGTCTCCGTCAATTTAAAATTTGGCAACCTCTTTTGGCAAGTCAGGTTGGCCTATTCCCACGTTGCCCTACAACTTATGCGGTATTTTAGAATTAAATATTGAATCACCATAATCATCCACGTACAAGTATTCTAGACTTAAATATTGAGTCACCATAATCATCTATGTAAAAGTTGACTTATACCAACCATAACCTGAAAGTCAAGATCTGGTGGTGCTTTGGATGCTCTGAATTCTTTTGTTGCGTTAGAACTCATCTACAGTGGATGGTCAGCACAGAAGTATTCTTATATTTCCGGCAGGATCAAAACAAACAAAATGTTGGGGAACTATACCACCCAATGGCAGTTACATTATTTTAACAGAATAAACTATTAAGGAAAGAGAAGAAAAAAGCCAACCATTGATTTGGAAAACATACCTTCGACATATTGCCACTTTCTGTCTGGCCTGCTTAGTCATTTCTTCTTTTCTGGCCAGCCGCAGGAGTTTGTTGCTCCGATAAGAGCTTCAAAACCTTGACCAATGCACGCAGTCGGTCCCAAATGTTCAAGCCATAAAGAGCTTCTACAAGTGACTCCTGAAATTCAAATCCATTCTCCCTTACAGGATACTGTAATTGCCATAACAAAAGCAACCAGTCAGTAAATTGAAGCACCAAAATTGTGGGTCTTACTTATAATTTTATAACTCAATAACCGCAGAAATTTTCAATAGATAAAAAGAAAAAACATGCGTATGTCCCAAAGTTTACAAAGTTTGTACCTGAATAGGCTTTGGTATGACTGTTTTGATATATGGCCAAAATCTATCCTCAACAACAGATTTTACAAGACAACAAGCACGCAATCCTTCTATGCCAGCAAAGCGACCAAATCCACTGTCTTTTACACCTCCAAACGGCAGAGACTGAAGAGTTTAAAAAGCATCTTAGGTCCAGTGGGATTATTAAAATTAACTGAGTCAATTAATATCTAGCTTTGCCACAATAAATAGCAATTCTTTGTATGGATCTCTTCCAAGCAGAGCATCTTGGTATAATTTAATGTAAATTCAAATGACCATGCACCTAGATCCTCGGGAAAACATACCTGACACATATAAGTTGATGCAAAGTCATTAATTGCAGCAACACCGCAGTGTATCTGGGAAGCTATCTCTTTTGCACGCCTCTGACTGCCAGAAAAAACAGCACAGCCAAGCCCATACCTAGAGTCATTTGCAAGCCTTACAGCCTCTTCATCGGTACTAAATTTCATAATCGGCATAATTGGTCCAAAAGCCTGCTTGCCAAAAAATTCAAATAAATTTAGAAAGGGTTATTCAACAATTAGATTACAAGCTTTTAACTTTCTTGATATTATCTCCCATCCCAGACTCAAAAATTAAATCACTACCTCAAATCTTGTGAATAAGTTAAGGACCATATCTTTAAGATATGTGTAAGATGTTCAGCTCCAATGCATGAAAGCAACCAATCATATTTCAAGTGGAATGATTGGATGAAGCCCACTTAATATTGTTTTGAACAAGCAGAAAGAACTTTTACCTCTTCTTGCATCAACCTCATAGTGTGGTTCACATTAATAAGTACAGTAGGCGGGAAATACTGATCAACTGCACCCTCAAGTAAATGACCAAAACTTCCACGAACAACAATTTCTGCTCCTTTGTCTAAGGCATCATTTACAAGATTTTGAAGTTTATCAGCATGTTCCAGCAAACATATAGCACCCATATCGTACCTTCCAGCCAGTGGTGGTCCCTGCAATACCAGTAAATAAAAGTCCTAGTTTTAGTTTAAGTATAAACATGATGTTTTATTTCTTTTTTTGGGCTAGAAGGTCAATTATTTGGTGGATAAAACCAGCACCTACATAGGAAATAAACCCCGAGAACACCTTTAATCTGGCTAAAACATGCACCTCTAATCTTATTGGGGTAGGGATTTTCTGTTATTAACAGTTCTACCTTTAAGAAAGGGTTTTGTTAAACTTACATGTAAGTGAATGTAAACATAAAAATTGAAATCGGAAACTGTCAGGTGAGGAAATCAGTTATTCAGACTGACACATCAAACAGCATTTTGGAACATTATGTGAAACATGACAAAAAATATATTTTTAGGACATACAACTACATATGCTTATGCTATGAGGACAGAATTGACAAAAAGCTGGGAACAAATCTTTCATTTAAAACACATCAAAAGTTTCGTACTTACAGCTGAAATAGACTTCACAATTTTCACTATTTGACTGACAAATGATGAATAAATGTCCTTGTGAACATAAAATCTCTCAGCCCCAGCGCAGTTCTGCCCACTCGATTGAAGAGCAGCCCTGACAGCAATTTGTGCAACCTATATATCATGTACAATAAACCCAATCATATCACTCATTGGATTCTTCTTCAACAAATACTGATTAACAAATTAAGACAAAACATGTTTAACTTAGAACATGCAAAGTATTCATACATGAGAGACATCTACATCTTCACACACAATAAATGCATCTTTCCCACCAAGCTCGAGTGTAACTGGTATAAGTGTATCTGCAGCCTTTCTCATTATCTGCAAACAGAAAAGGTGAGGACAAGGTAAAGCAGTGACCCATTTTTGTCATAAGAAGTAATGAACAGGTAAAAGATATCTCTTTCAACAAGACCAAAAAAAACCAATTTATCAGGGGTAATTAACAAGGACAAACAAAATTCAATTTATTCTTTTGTGCACATAATGTACCTTCACATTTATCATTTATAAGATTTAACTATGCTAATGGTTTTCACAGGTATAGATTATAATCCTGCTGCTTCGCTTACTGACACCACATATACTTAATGCACTAAAGATTAGGGCAAAGGAATTTAGATAAAACAAAATGCAACTTAATCCTATTCGAGGAATATAAAAAATAATCCCCAAAAAAAGAATAGAATCTGTTAGCTTCAATCATACCATCTTGCCAACACCTGGTGATCCAACAAATATGATCTTGTCAGCAGATGACACCAATGCTTCTCCTGTCTCCGCAAACCTATGAAGAGAAAAGTGATTCTGATAAATAAAAAACCAACCACGAGGGATATAAAAAAGTTCAATAAAAACCACATACCCTGTGATTACATCAACAAGATTTTCAGGAGCTCCAACAGCAGCTAGAGCTGCCTGGATTATACGGAAGTAGAAACATCCAGACCAACTTGCATGTTCTGAAATCTATAATTACAAGAAAAATAATCCGGTCAAGTAAAATAAAATAATCTCTACATTGGTCATCGAAAGGCATATTAATGGTACATCATATGCATCTTATAAGCAGGTTCAACACTTAGTTGCTAATGCAGAGATGAGGTGTCAAGCAGCAACCTTAAAGATGCTTAAACACAATAAGGAATAGCAAAATAGATAAATATGCAGCAAAGTTGGTTTCTAACAAACACAAATATCGTATAAAAAAAAAGACTTCAAGATATTCTTATATTAATACCTTGATCACAATGCTATTCCCTGAAAAAACAGCAGCCAGCATAGGATTAAAAATATTGTGAAAAGGATAATTCCATGAAACAATGGCCCCTATAACACCAAGGGGGTAGAATTCTACTTTGGACCTCTTGTGAATCATAGATCTTCCAGAAGACCTGCAGAAAAAAATTGCAGAGGATTAAATTATATAAGTATTTGTCAAAGCAATAAATTTCAGTAACCCTGTAAGTTAACATCACTTCACATGTTCAAACTTCTTTACGAATAAGAGTCATTATACCACAATGGTGATAAGGTGCACGTCTTGAAAAGTAAGCACTACTGATCTAAGGGAAATTTATGGCTATAAGACAGGCAATTACTACATATCATCACAATGTTGATCATAACA